ACGAATCTGCAAGGCTCGGGCCGCGTTTGCTAACTTGAGACACCTATGGCGTCAGAATGGTTTATCCCTGAATCTGAGGGGACGTGTGTATCAAGCTACAGTACGGGCTGTTTTGTTGTATGACTGTGAGATTTGGCCTATTCGAGCAGCGGACCTGAGACGTCTTCAGGTGTTCGACAATCGTTGTCTCAGAACCATAGCTCGTGTGGGTTGGTGTCGGGGAATGTGTAACGAGGCAGTTAGTGGGCGTGTTCTGTAACGGGTACTTCCATTGAAGAATGTGTCCAGCACCAGAAGCTGCGTTGGTTGGGACATATGTTACGTATACCGAACCATCGTTTGCCGAAGAGAGTACTGTTTTCCATGCCCAACTCAGAGTGGCGTAAACAGAGAGGTGGCCAATCCTTGACTTGGCAGAGGAGTATGAAGGAGATCACGAAACGCTTGGGTGCTGTCGGTGCTACTCGCCTTCCTGGTGGGGACCGCGTGATCCTCACTGTGCCTGGTTGGAGACACTACAAGATATGCCTGCGAACCGATGTCAGTGGCGTTCTTGTTGTCAGTTTCTATCCAGATTGCCTGAGTGAATGTCTGGAGGTGTAGGCACCTCGGAATTGATTGTGTTAAGCTAGCACTAAGTCCCTCCTCCATCCACCTTTATTTTTTTCTTCACAATAAGGCTTTCAAATAAGTCATGGTTGTACGGCAGTGAAGCATCGGTGTTGAACACTGATGTCATGCTGTCGATGATGATGATGACTTACCTAATATTAGCGCATTTCAACTACGATCTCCGTATTTTGTATAATTTAACTTTTTTACACATCCGTTGTATGAGAAGCCATTCGTGTTGATCGAGTCCGCCAACATTGTTCAAATTTCCCATCTAGTAGTGACATTTTTGATTGAAGTCACTGGTCTCCAGAGAAAACGGTGTATCGTAGGTGGGAGCCCCGGGGGCGAGGTAACGGATTCACTGAGGGAAGGCCCGTGTTTCGAACCTCTGCCTCCCGACTTCCCCTGTCTAAGCTTGGGCAACCTGGCAGTATCCCAGCTCTCGTGCTTCCTTCGGGTGGCATGGCAGCTAGGTGCCGAAGGGGTATCGCAGGTGGATTGGCAAATTATTTTAGACATAGGGAGCCCTGAAGTTGGTCAGGTTGTTTTGAAACCGATTAAACCCTCCGAAGCACACGCATTGTCTTCTACACGACCATTTTGTAAGTGCAGGACCGGATTTCGCTTTCAAAATATAGTCAACTGGTGCCAGAAAACCGAGAAGTTATTTACATCCGTTTTGTTCCTGTTTGTAATGGACAGAAATCAGTAGCTCACGAACGTTTATGAAAATTCGAACTTGCAACCCTCCGGATAGGAGTTCGATCACCACCATCTGATCAAGAGTGTGATTAGCCTCAACTTATCAATGTCTTACTAACCCACTATCCGTACCCATTAGTCTATGTTAACTACGCTAGTAGTTCACTACCATCTCTGTAGACGGAGTGGAAAAGGTTTGAAGATGCTTTCAGCCCCTTATGGTGAACATGGAGGTAGACGTCCTTTCTGAACAGACTGCTTCTGAGCGCGATTACTAAGGCACACTATGAAGCATCAAAGTATGACAAAAAATCCCAACCAAGAAGATTCAATCAACTTACATTTATAACGTGCAACGACCGCTTTCTATTTATGGCATTATCCATCTAGCGCCTCCTGATGGAACGGAGGTGGAGACAAACAAATACAAGTTGAAAAGACATTCTTTCCCCGTTGATATGGTGATGGTTATAGAGTTGATAGAAGCTCTTGGGTTGTCCACTGCGGGCTTTGCTCTTTTTGGGACTCATCAAGTAAGCCGACCCCTCGAGCTTTCATATTTCTTATTTCATAGTCGAACATCGGCTGTCCAGCAGCTGTCACCAACTCTATGATACATCGAGAAAATGGCTTTGATATGTTGAATACGGTTCCAGGTGAAACATGAGACGCCGCCTGTGTTGAACACATTCATTTGGATACTAGCTGAACCCACTGTTCACACCAAATTGACTTATGGATACTTCTTGATCTCGATGTTACGGTCGGTAACCAACCCCCAGAAAGAACCTTTGCAGTTACCTACCACACGACTTTAAAGCTTTTAACGGCTACTGTTCCGCTTAATTACTCCCCCAATCAATTTCACATCTGCACCTACTATCCTCATCCTATTCTGTCTGTCCCACGATCACGCGTCAACATCATGACATGAATACGACCTTGATGAACAACATGTCAACTCTAGTTCCGTGAACTTTTAAAAGATGCCATGTGAATTCCCATTATTGTTCATTTAGCTGTAGCACCCTTTCGGCGCCTAACCGCCATGCCACCAAGAGGAAGCACGACAGTTGGGATACTACCAGGTTGCCCGAACCTAGACAGGGGAAGTCGAGAGGCAGAGGCCAGGTTCGAACCATGGACCTTCCGGTTAGTAAATTCGCGCTCACCAAAGGCTTTACAAGCTGATAAGTCTCCACACCTTTGCGCGCCTGACTTTTGCATTGTATTTTTTAGTCGTAAGGTGTACCTAACTTTGTGATCTTATTAGTGTCTCTCGCTTCTGATATTCGAGCTCAACGTCTGTAGTGGTTAACGGCCCTATGGAGTCTCTAGTGAACCGAACAAATTACCGATGTAAGCCAGATACAAAGTCACAAGGAGAAAAATCCAAGTAAATCTTGACTCACAGTTCAAAATAGGAGATTCCGTAGTTCCCTATTCCGTTGAACCACCACACCAAGAACAATTATATCTTCCTGGTATTCCAGATCTCCGGTGATCGAAATATTATTCCACAAATGTGAATATATTAGTCCAGTGTTTGTAGCTAAAATGTTTGTTCACGTTTAGTGTTAGCAAAATATAGCCAACCGGCGGTCACAACAACAGTCACTCAGCAAAAGTCTCAAAGTCACGTTGGAGCCAACAAGCAGGCGGTAGCGGTTGTATTTCAGTGAAACAAACTTTTGTACAGCGATGTGACTGATAATTGTGGGAAAAAAGATGATGATACTGAGCATGAAAAACAGCAGTTTACAAGTGCTACACGTGTATATACTAGAGCACTAAGGAGCTCCTTCAGGCCATGGTGCTGATTTAGTTTCATTACGTGTGAGAAAGGTATAGACACTAAGAATTCTGAATGAAATCGACAATTCCATCTTGCCTGAAGCAAACTATCAGATCAGATTTCATTTGCAATAATGTCTTTTGATAAATCTGCAAAGCATTGCTAAACTAACGAGCCTCACTAGCAAAGAGACTGAGGTGTCTTTCCGGGGTTGCGTCTCGCCTGGAATTGGATAGCGACAAAACAGAAGCCAAGAAGCGATAGTACGCTCACGATCTCAGTAATCACAGTCATTACGTGGATGCCGTTGTCCTCGAAATGGTCACACTTCTAGCAGAATGTGAAAGCAATTGAGCGAACCTGAAAACGATCCCCCAACATCTAGGCGAACAGTCCGCCGAATGAGCTCTCCTCTGGTATCCTTGATCACCTAGCTACTATGCTGCTATGTCGTTGGTTGTACTGCTAGAAAACTTGATGGACAAAGGGACTCAACCATTAAATTGGAAGACGACCGTTGTTAATCCCATGTTCAAAGAAGGAATAAAGCGTGAGCAAGTCAAGTCTCAACCAAGTAATCTGATCTTCGTAATCAGTAAATTCATGAGGAACATACGAAGGACGGCTATCGAACACCACTTCCAATGACGTGTCCAACGAAAGCCCGAGCAACAGTGGTTTGGTGGAGGTGAGTCATGCAACTCAAACCTGCTTTTCGCAAAAGAGAAATGAATGGAGACAGTGGATGCGAGTGATAGCCTGTTCACGAATTTTAGCAAGGTCTTCGATGGTGTGCCTCATCAACATCCCGGGATCGCAGATAAGGTTTATGCATGTATGGTGGATTTCCAGATAAAAAACGGGCACGTTGACGTAGTGGTCACGGTGTAGTAGTGATCACGCTGTTTATACTAGATGGAACTCCGCCCTTCAATGTTCATGCATGCTGGGAAAACCAAAGGAGAATAGCCAGACAGAAAGTGGCAAGCCCACGCACCACAAGTAATCCAATTTCTAAGCATTCTGGAAGTAATTTCGCATCGTCCTCCGCGACAGATGTGAATGACTTGCTTCTTCCAGGCGAGGAGTATGTCCATAGCTATGGAAGCACCGATACTATCTTCAACCGAGAAAGGACGTGTTAGAAAAGTTGGTCACAAAAACGGTACATTGATCACCAAAATGTCAACGACGAGTGCCAGCGGAATAGCTAACACGGCTAAGGAACCAGTTTACCAACAGACTGATGTGAGTCCCAACGGTTCTGCTGGATGCATCAACATCACTCACCCTGCAAAGCTCGGACGCGCCTGCCTCCCACCATCAGGTGTACCAGACTACTGATTTCAATGGCTAGGTCAATGTCTGCAAAGAAGACCCTGAAAACCAGCTCTATTGTGGGCGGAGTCCCAGAACGAAGCCAAGATTCCGAAATCAACGGATCAAATATAGCTCCCCAAAACAACCTTGAGCAGTATAGATAACTACTTGACTTGTCTTCATGGTACTGGCTGAACCAACGGTTTTGCTCCCTTCATCTTTAATCGCCTTCCATGCACTTCTCCCTCCTACAGGTCCTATACCTTGGCCTTGAGCCCTCAAGCCAAAAACAGAAATGTTCTACTCAGGCCAACTTACTCGTTGTACTTAGCAGCATTTAAACCCCGCATCATGCCAGACTGGTCGAAAATTTTCCTCACTTCCTCTTGAAAGCTGACATGTGTATGTCACCATTAACACGTTTCCAAACATTGAGTGTTACAGTGGTAAGCTACTAAGCAGCTCAGAGTCTACATTAATGACGTTTTACTCTTCATGTATACGGTGATCATGAGGCTATCTTGTCTACAAATGCCATAGGAATCGCCATGACCTCAAGATCTAAAGGCAATGACTTAGGCAGGGTTCCCGTGAAAAGCAGATTATCGGTGAAGCAACTAAGTACAACAATTAAAGCTCATCAAAAGCTGGTAAGTATATGGAACTTAAGTTCCAAATATCAGTAGCAATTGCTACTGATATTTGCCTAAACAAACCATAGTATTGATGCTGATAAAGACTATTTCTATGGCCATATTTCGAATTCCCTACGGCATGAAAGCACAAAGTTTGCAGCTCTGACGTCTGGGAACGTTCAAACTGAAAGA